ATTGAAATGTGTTCCTCTTTTAATTTACATGTTTAAAAAGTTTTTGGTTTTGTTTTAAATAAAACAAATTGGGGAAGGAAAGCAAAAATAATCCTTTCCAGTTTCTGCACTCCATTAACCATATTAACATTTTGGTGTATAGACAAGACTTTTGTTCTTTGGATATTCATGGAAATGTGTGTGCTTTTAAATGCTTTTTTTTGTTTTTTTCCCTAAATTGGATCATGCTAAATATGCTTTTCTGTTTAATGCTTTTTAAAAAAGTTGACATTTATTGAACATCTATTATGTACCACTCTTAGAGATGCACACATCTTTTGAGTCTGTCTTTTTAAACAGATTTAGCCTAAAGGAGCTAACCAGGCTTAAGGAGAGGTTAGGGGTATCGGGTGTGTTTATTCCTTTGCTTATTTGTTTAATGATTGTTAAAATTGTTAAACCGTCATGGAAATGGAAATGTTTCCATGTTATATAGAGATATTTAACCATGTTTCTTATAAGCCCATGGTATTCCATTAAGTACCATTATTTAACTAATTCCCTATTAAGGAACATTTAGGTTGGTTCCGTTTTTGGTGTTTTTTTTTAAATAAATTTATTTATTTTATTTTTGGCTGTGTTGAGTCTTCGTTGCTGCCAGCAGCCTTTCTCTAGTTGTGGCGAGTGGGCTTCTCATTGTGGTGGCTTCTCTTGCTGTGGAGCATGGGCTCTAGACACACAGGCTTCATAGTTGTGGTTCACGGGCTCTAGAGCATAGGCTCAGTAGTTGTGGCACACGGGCTTAGTTGCTCCATGGCATGTGGGATCTTCCTGGGCCAGGGCTCAAATCCATGTCCCCTGCATTGGCAGACGGATTCTTAACCACTGCGCAGCCAGGGAAGCCCTGGTTCCGGTTTTTTGATATTAACAATTCTGTAATGAATATCTTTGTTCACTTTCTTAATTACTACCTAAGAGTACGGTTTTAGAATTGGAATTGTTGAATCAAGGAGTGCTATTCTGTTTTGTTTTTTGTTTTTTTTTTTGTGGTATGCAGGCCTCTCACTGTTGTGGCCTCTCCCGTTGCGGAGCACAGGCTCTGGACGCGCAGGCTCAGTGGCCATGGCTCATGGGCCCAGCTGCTCCACGGCATGTGGGATCTTCCCGGACCGGGGCATGAACCCATGTCCCCTGCATCGGCAGGCAGACTCTCAACCACTGCGCCACCAGGGAAGCCCTGCTATTCTGTTTTAAATCAGTGGCATTAGTTCTTTTCTGGTTTTCAGAGGTCAGACAGATCAATTTAATCATGATTCCATAGCAGAAGATTGATGGCGTTTAATCTTACAGTTTAGCATGGAGTTAATTATTAAATTTTTTGCATTAAAATTTTTTAAATTTTAAACTTAATTTCATTTTGAGATATTTAAAGCATACTGAAAAGATAAAACATAATATGATGGTCACTCATGCACTCACTGTCCTGATTTAAGTTCTTCCCCGTTTTGCCATATTTGCTTTTTTGGGGGGGGCTGCGTTGGGTCTTTGTTGCTGCTGTGTGCGGGCTTGCCATATTTGCTTAATCTCCATCTTATTTTTTAATTAAGGGATTAAATGTCCCAGAGTCCCATCCTTACATCCCTTCGCTCTCTCCCTCCCTACCCTTGGAGGTCACTGCTACTCCACTGTCAGGGTGTATCATTCCCGTGCCTGTTTTTATACTTTTGCTGCATACGAATGTGTCTATAAACAACTTGTTTTTGTGTTTTAAAACTGACATTAATGGTGTCATACTGCACTTGACCTTTTATAACTTGCTTTTTTACTTTGTATCATTTTAGGGTTTATCTAAGGTGTAATATAAGCAGATTTAGTTAATGCATTTTTAACTAAGATGAAACGATATGTCATACTCCACTATATTTTTAAAACCCAGTTTGGTTATTGTTTCTATAGAATATATATAGTAGTGAAATTGCTGTCTAAACTTTTTCTCTGATGTTGCAGTTGTACGTATAAAATTGAGGTTTTACAAATTAAAGGATATGAACTGTTGCCTAACTATAGATTTCTTGATAACTGTGATTGTATAGTTTGCTTTGTATAAAACTAGTTACTCGGGACTTGAAACTAACAGTGTTAACATCAGTAATTAGAGCTAATACTTAAATAATTCTTAGTGCTTACTATGCACCAGATTCTGCTCTAAGCTTTTCCTGTGTTGTACATATTACATCTGGCCTCACAGCAGCAAGATAAACTGAGGCACAGAAAGTTTGAGTAACTTGCCCAAGACCTCTCTGCTAGTAGCAGTGGTGCTGAGATTAAACACTGGCATTTAACCCTGTACACACTGCCTCTTAAGTGTACTTTTTGTTGCTTTTTTGTCATAAATTAACAAACATAGGGAGTTCCCTGGTGGCCTAGTGGTTAGGATTATGGGCTTTCACTGCCGAGGCCCAGGTTCAATCCCTGGTTGGGGAACTGAGATCCCTTAAGCCAGGAGGTGCAGACAAAACAAAAAGAAAAAAATATATATATATATAAAGATTGCTTAGTCCATACAGTCACCATCAACAGTGTGAGCTGGTGGTTGGATGCCAGAATTTCAGTGATTTGTACTTAGACTGTGTATCGGGGTGCTTCTCCTGATGGAGGCGAATCCTAGTTTACCTCTGGGCTTTGCTTTTTAAGCTTCGATTTTAAGCCTGGTTGATGGGTAAAGCTTGCTTCTATCTCCCCAGAGCCTTTGGGGCCCTCGAGGGCAGCACCGTGTCTAACTAACCATTGTGCTCCTGCATTAGTGTCAAATTGAGCTATCAGGTCCCCCAAGTCCCCGTGCTAATGGCAGAGTGAAACCTCACTGTCCCGCGGAAGGCTGTTTTGATGTGCGGTGGCTGCCTGTGATGGCGGGAGCACATCTCCCCCTCACAGCAGATCAGGGGCTGCCCTTTGCCTCCGTATGGGCAGCGGAAGGACAGACTTCTCAGGCCCAGAGACAGAGGCCTGAGCTGCAGTGAGGCTGGGGAGCGGGTCTGCATATAGACTTCCTGCTAGTTCAAGTCTTAAGACTTTTTTTCCCCCCCTTGCTGTGCCACTTGGCTTGGGGGATCTTAGTTTCCAGACCAGGGATTGAACCCAGGCCCCAGCAGTGAGAGCGCCGAGTCCTAACCACTGGACTGCCAGGGAATTCCCCCTAAGACCTTTCTTAGGCCAGATTACTTTCTTATTAGACTTTCCTTTTCCTTTTTTTTTTTTTGTTTTTTAAACCTCAGAGGTTAGCCTGCCTGTTTCCTTTTCCCTCCCCTACCTATTGCATCTCTCCTGAGCTAAGTACCACCTTGGTTTTCTTGCACTCGGACCCTCGGTAGAGCATGTTGGTGATGCATCAGAAGCGCCTTGGATGCTTGTTCAGTGCAGATCACTGAGTCCAAAATTAGACCTACTGAACCAGGTTCTCTGGGTGATGAGCCAGTGATTACGTTTTTAGCTTTTTATTATGGAAGTTACAAACATATCCAAACACAGAGAAGATTATCGCATTAACCCTCATGTGCTGTGTAACGGTTATGAACCACTCACCCTGTCTGTGGCCAATCCGACCTTCCCCTCGTTATTTGGAAACAAGTCACAGATACCGTTTTTTTTCTTCCTGTAAATACTTCAGCATGTATTTCTAAGAGATAAGGACTCTATTTTCTAAGCAGCTATGTGTATTTTTCCCCCAGCTTTTTATTTTTGAAAGGTTTCAGACCTATAAAAAATGCAGTAGTGTACTATACAGTACTCTATACCTGTTACCTAGGTTTCCCAGTTTTGCCTTATCCATCTCACTGTGTGTATTGTGTGTGTCTTACTTACTTTTCATTGTTAGGCCATTTGAAAGTGAGTTGGGACATTAAGATAGTTCACCTCCAAGTAGTTTTCACCTTGTTTCTCTTAAGAGCAAGGGCATTCTCCTGTATGACTGTGATACAGCGATCACACATGGGACAATTGTCCTAAATGTTCAAATAATGTCCTTTACAGCTTCCTTTTAAAAAGGACCATACATTGTATTTAATCTAGGCAGTTCCTCAGCTTTTTCTTTTGAAGCTTTTATTTATTTTATTTTATATTACTTTATTTTTTTGGCGGCATGTGGGATCTTAGGTCCCTGACTAGGGATTGAACCCTGTGCCCCCTGCACTGGAAGTGAAGTCTTAACCACTGGACCACAGGGAGGTCCCTGAATATTTTATGACAATAATATCTTTTAAGAGTCTAGGTCATTTGTTTAGCACTATGTCTGAATTTGAATTTGTCATATTGTTTTGTATGATTAGAGTCAAATGACATATTTTGGCAGAAAGACTGTGTAGGTGATCTGTTCTTAGAACATCACTTAAGTCAGCTTGTCCAGTTAAAGTCGTGTCCGCCAGCCCTTCCCACTGCAAAGACACGTCTTCCCCTTCATAATTAACCCTCCACTGATGATTTGTACCTGCATCAGTTATCTCAGTGGTGGTTTGTCTTAGAGCTAGGTGTCTGTAGGTCCACAAAGGGCTAAAGTAAGATTCACCTGTTCTTTAGGAGAACACCCAGTCTTAGTTTCCTGGGCGTTTTATTGTTAGAACTGATGTGGGCAGAAATAGAAGTAAGAGGCTAGGAATGTTGTCCATGTGAAGCCAGAGGTGGTGGGGAGTAGCTGTGTGTGTTTGAGGTCATGCACGGGAGTTCTCTTCCCATTTCCCCCATAGGGTGCTGTAGCCCTGCTCCAGAAGTTAAGGGATTGAGGTCAGGAAGGAGTGAGGAAGTCCTGGGCTTTGCGGTTGTAACAGAGTGTTGAGCTCTTGTGGCTGCTGGCCTGGAGCTGAAACGTCCAGTTGGCTTTGGAAGATGAGGTGCACATCAGCTTATATGCATTAGAGACTGCTCCTGCCTGCCTGTGACTGTGTGACTGTCACGGTAACCTGCAGTCAGGGTTGTTTTCACCTTGAATCATGATCAGATTTGCTTCTGACAAAGCTTCTCTTTTCCAGTGGGCGAGTTTGTAAGTGACGTTCTGCTAGTTCCAGAAAAGTGCCAGTTTTTCCACAAGGAGCGGATGGAAGTGTGCGAGAATCATCAGCACTGGCACACTGTGGTCAAAGAGGTAAAGGAGTGGGTGGGAAAAGTCGAGCGTTGTTTTTTAGGAAAGTAGTGTTTTTTCTCGACACCTTACCATAATTTTATTTTATTATTTTATTTATTTTATTTATTTTTTTATTTTTTTGCGGTACGCGGGCCTCTCACTGTTGTGGCCTCTCCCGTTGCGGAGCACAGGCTCCGGACGCACAGGCCCAGCGGCCATGGCTCACGGGCCCAGCCGCTCTGTGGCATGTGGGATCTTCCCGGACCGGGGCACGAACCCGCGTCCCCTGCATCGGCAGGCGGACTCTCAACCACTGCGTCACCAGGGAAGCCCCTTACCATCATTTAAAATTAATTTTCTTTCCCTTTATCTCATCAAAGTTTACAATTACTTGTATCTTTTAAATTAAAACTATTTGGGAGAAGAACAGATATTTTTGTAAGGAAGAACAGCATTAACAGTTCAGCCCCTGAAGTCAGGGACACGAAAAAGATCGTTAAGTAAGGATTCTGTCGGCAGGGCCCCCGGCAAGGCCACCCGAACCCTAAGGCGTGTGTGGAAATAGCCAGTTATAGGACATCTGTGTCTGGACATGCATGCTGTCAGGTTTAGATATCATTTCATTCTTCCCGTGGGGAGAATGACCCTTTCTTAGCTTGTCCTCTGAGTTAAGTTGGTTTTCCAGCCAGTTGCCTTTCTTTTTTCTAGTTCTGAAGTAATTCTGAATTCCTCACCCATTAGGAATGTACGTTACCATTGACCACCACTCAGCAGCGTCGATAATTACTAAAAGAAACCTCCTTTCCTTAATTTTATTCCAACTTTGGGCTTTCATTGGTTTTAGCCCAAGATGATGTTTCCCTCTTGCAAATTAAGTAAAATTTGTAAGTCTTAAAATAGTAGGGTCGCAACTTTTTGGCCAAAAATTTATGTGTCCGTGAGAAGGGCTCACGTTGTGATTTGGTAAGGGTTTCTTTTGGGTAAAGCTGGGGATCGGGGGTCTTTGACCACACTTGCTGTGTTCTGATGTTGGTGTGTGGGTTTCCCTCAGGCCTGCCTGACTCAGGGAATGACCTTGTACAGCTATGGCATGCTGCTCCCCTGTGGGGTGGACCAGTTCCACGGCACCGAGTATGTGTGCTGCCCTCAGACAAAGATTGTTGAATCTGCTGCGTCAAAAGAAGGGGAGGAGGACGACGAAGAGGACAACGAAGAGGACGACTACGATATTTATAAAAGGTAACCTCCTGCCCGGAGCCTGCGGATGTGGCCGTGGCTGCTGGTCCCTGGCTTCCGGGTGAAGCGGACATTGCGCGTTCCTGCCAGAGCTGGGCCGGCACATCTCACTTGGGCCGTGGCTGAGCCCAGGCACGCCAGTGGCCTTCAGCTGCCTGTCACCCCGGCCACGTGCCTTTCTGCAGGTTAGCCCAGCCCCTGCTGCCTGGCGGTCCCCTTCCGCTGAGGTGGCCGGACTGAGGGCTTTAGCAGCACGGCTCCCCATTGGCTGAGCTTATTTCCTGCCTCTGTCTTTGTGTTTCAGAACAGGGAAGGGACTCATTGTTGCGCTCTGTGCATAGCAACTGGTATTAACCTTCCTTTTTTATTGTGACCTTTAGTGAATTTCCTACCGAAGCAGATTTGGAAGACTTCACAGAAGCAGCTGTGGACGAGGGTGAGGAGGAAGTGGCGGAAGATCGCGATTACTACTACGACGCCTTCAAGGGAGACGGCCGCCGCGAGGAGAGCCCGACCCAGCCCAGCCGCCATGGCACCGCTGCAGAGAAGGAGGTCTCTCACGGTGTCAGAGGTAACCCCACGGAGCCGCCGCGGCTGCGCTTATTTACTTAGAATTTGTTAGTCTTCTTTAATGTGCCTAGAGACTGCTTTCCTCACAGGTAAGTCACAGGAGGGTGGCTTCCTGCCCCGAAGGTGAGGTCAGCTCTGGGCACTGCAGGCAGGGTCTGGCAGTTGACAGATTTTAATCAGGAAACTAAGCTTTGCATTGTAAGGACTTAACTAGAGAATCAGAGAGACCACGTGGTCTGCCCTCGGGCAGGATTCTTCCACATCCAGCCGGAAATGTTCTCTCCTGAGGGGGATCCCCTTCCTCAGTAACTGCTGAAGCCCCAACCTTTTGGAGTGGAAGTCACTTCCTTGGTTCCTTTCCTGAGTGTGTTCCCATCTGTAGGCTGTCCTGTTTGTCCATCAGAAAGAGGTTTGCAGCTGGGAGGGTGAAATTTGATGACCTACCAGTAAGGGATCAGGGCCAGCAGTGTTTTCATTTCACCATTAAAAAGAAAAAAAAAAAGTTGCGACAGTTCTAGGCCATTTTATGTGCAGCCTCCTGCTGATAGTATATTTGAAACCAATTAAGATCTGAAGAATTACTCAGGATTCAACCAAGAGCAGATGACTTAATGAGTCCAGAAGCTTGTGATTCACCCTGGAGAACATAAAACGTACACTCGTCCTTTCCAGGGGCTTAAGTAGCCTTTACGATGGTTACCGCCACTGAAACAGCCTCTGCACCTGCACTGTGTCCTGCCCTTGCCACCCCCGAGACGGCCAAACCAGGCAGCTGTCCCCACTTCACAGATGAGAAACATGAGGCTCCTCCATGTCAGCCCTGCCCCTCTCTAGACTCTAGACAGTGCAGAAAGCACCAGTCCATATTCTCAGGACCTAAGGGTCTCTCTTGCATCAGGAAGGAAAACGACCACATCCTCAGGGTTGGCTGGCAGGAGTTGGCAACTTCGTTGGCCTGGGCGCCAGGTGCTGCCCCATCCTGGTCTTCGCTGATGTTAACCGTCGCCTGGTCGTTCTCCCCTTGCTGGTCTGTAGCTCTGTGAACCCCTGGAGCTGCTGCCCGGCCCCTGCTGACATTCTGACCGTTTCCACACAGCTGTCTGCTCCCAGGAGGCGCTGACGGGGCCCTGCCGGGCCGTGATGCCCCGGTGGTACTTCGACCTCTCCAAGGGGAAGTGCGTGCGCTTTATATATGGCGGCTGCGGCGGCAACAGGAACAATTTTGAGTCTGAGGAGTATTGTATGGCTGTGTGTAAAGTGATGAGTAAGTCCCGCCGCCCTGGCTGTGCAGCTCCATCCCGTCCAGCGTTCTGTCCCCCGGTGTCCTCGTGACCGCGTCTGTGTGGTGCTCCCTGCCCACTGGGTGTTTGCTGTTGGTCGTCTGCTCTTCTCTCTGTGCTTTCTAGATCTAGCTTTGCTTTCCTGTCGGCAGTTGTCAGCTCAGTTTTCCGTGTCCTGTGCTCGCCGTGGGCCCGTGGAGATGGAGGTGGTGGTGGTGGTGGTGGTGGTGGTGGAGGAGGTGATGGTGGAGGTGGTGGAGATGGTGGTGGTGGTGGAGGTGATGGGTGGTGGTGGTGGTGGTGGTGGTGGTGGAGGAGGTGATGGTGGAGGTGGTGGAGGTGGTGGTGGTGGTGGAGGTGATGGTGGTGGAGGTGATGGTGGTGGAGGTGATGGTGATAGTGGAGGTGATGGTGGTGGAGGAGGTGATGATGGTGATGGTAGAGGTGATGATGGTGATGGTGATGGTGGTGATGGAGGTGGTGACAGCCGTGATAATGGCAGCAGTGATGGCGGAGGAGGTGGCGCTCCCTCCCTGCCACAGGGGGGAGCCAGGGGCCTGCCCTTTCTCATGCGGAGCCTCCGTGTTGGTTGGGTTGGGAAGGCGGCCCTGCCCTCCTCTGTCCGAGGCTGAAATGCACGAAGGACAAGCGGACAGGTCGTGAGTTCTGCACATCTTGTGTCCAGGCTTTTCTCTCTCACTGTTGTCTTGAGCGGCCCTGTGCCGACCCCCCATGATGCACACTAGCTAAGGGGGTCACCCGCTCTCCAAAGAAGCGACAATAAGGACACTTCAGGGAGCCGAGAACATTGGAACATCTTGCTATATGCACTCCAGGGAGTGTGCTCTGCAGCCAAGTGGTGGTGACTCCGTTTCCCCAGTATTCTGGCAGCGCTGGATCAGGCCTGGCTTTAGGAGTTTTAGTCTATGCGTTCTTTGGTCACAAAGAAATTTCAGCGTTCAGTTGAGTCAGGTTTACTTCGCTGTCGGTAGGTTGCCTTTCTTCATAGTTCCCCCTTTTCCTGTTTAAGACCCGCTTTCTCGTCTGGAGCACTTCTGACCCGTGTGTAGGAAAACCCCCTGGCTAGGCAGACCCTTCTTCATTCTGATTCTAGAATAATGAGCTGTGCTGCCATTCCTGGTATTTGCCCTAAAGATTTTTGGCTGTAGCTTCTGACAGTTTTTCGTGCATATGCCATCTTGTTCCCTCTTTCCTTCCCCAACCAAAAGATTATTTAAATCTTAATATGATATAGTTTACTTTTAGTTCTTCCACTCCAGCTGCTGCTTGGTGAACTTTTTATTTGAAATGATTGAAAAGATGAGAAAACAAATGAGCCCTTAGGGAGCGTTGGTGGCAGAAACTTTTTTATTTAGGGAAGATGGAGACAGAAATCATCGTGATACTTTCTGCTTTGTAAAACTTCTTAAACTGAGGGGCAACAAAACGCTGTTTGGGGTCAAAGCCTGAGGAATCTGGGTCGTTAAAGGTCTCGCTGAATATGAAGGTGCAGTCTTTACCCAGAGGATCAGGTGGATGGTGTCGTAAGACACTGGGGACTGGCAGATTGCTGGAGCGTGAACAGTTGCGAAGCCTGCAAGGTCGTGCTTCCCGACAGGCCATGTGCTTGGGGCCCGGCTGGAGGGCTTCGGAGCCTAGAAGCATAATGCTCCTGTGGACAAGTTTGCTTCCCTCCTTGAAGGGGACTGAGGCCTACGCATTTCCGGCTTCCTGAGCTGGTCGCTTGCACACAGACAGAGGGATGTGGTTCTAGGTTCAAGCCCATCCCATCGTGTCTTCAGAACCAAACCTGCAGACCTGCTGCCCCTTTGCCCTCTCTTTCCGGTGTGGGGCGGGGGTGGGGTGGGGCGGAGGCAGCTTGTGCTTGCTTGTATTACCTTCATCCGGCCCAGGGATATGAACCAAAGGCTCTGTCTCCGACACGTAAGCCTTTAAGCTGCGGACATGCGCTGCCAATGGCGACGTGTTTGTTGGCACCAGTGGACTTCCGTGCTTCGAAATTGTCCTGGCTGAGCTTTTGAGTATTGTGGGGAATGTGGTTTCTGAAGCTAGCTGTACATATTCTGATTTAGTTATAGTCTGAAAATTGGCTGTTGAGATCCTATTTAAATTAATGTAGGAGGCAGATGTTCTTGACAAGACTTAAGCCGTAGCTTCTAGGGTTAAAACTCAGTAAAAGAGGGTGAATGAAGACACCCCGATGTAAGGACTGCAGAGTGGCTGACTTACTTGTGGTCACACTCATCGGTTACACAGCTGGTCTCATGTTGTGTTAAAATGACGCAGTTCTGGAAACTGGGAGAATTTGTTTTTGAATTAAAATTCGTTGAACTTGGCCTTTGCTCTCCAAGTGGCTCTCAAGTGTGTCCCGATGGAGCAAGTTGTGTAAGCAGGTTGCCTGACATTCCTCCTTGGCCTGGGAAATCCCCAGTGAGTTGGGGTAATGAGAGTTTCCATAGGTATTTCTTAAGAGGTAGACCTGTCATCTCAACCCTTCCTGGGTTAGGATAGGCTCCTTTGTGCAGATGCACATCTGCGTGGGGCTGGTAGGAACTCAGGAACTTAGACTAGTGCGGAGTGTTTGTTCTAACGGGTTTGTTCCCTGGGTGGTGGCCTGGTGGGGCCAGTGAGTGCCATGGATAGAAAAGCCCAAAGCAGCTTCACACTCGTGGTAAGCCCTTGTCCAATACATTGCCCCTGCTGTGGGGCTGGGGCTGAAAGACCTCCAGTGGGACTGAAAACTAAGCAGCTGGAGCTGAAGCATTTGGACTTTCTCTGCCCAGTCTGTGTGCAAAGAACATTCAGTTGAATCAGTTGCCCAAAGTGAGTTGTGACCTAAAAATAGCCAGAGAAAAAGAGCAGACCTGAAGCCCTGCAGTGCCTTTGCATGCCTGACTTGTCTCTGGTCAGGTGCTCTCAATAGGGTAGTTCTTGTTTAGGTTTTAAGGTTTCAAGAACTGAGGGAAGGTATAGAAGTGGTTTCCTTTTCTGCCCCTGAAGTCCTAAATAGATGCCTCACTGGTCCTGAAGGTACGGGGGGAGTGCGGACGGGCCTGGTGGCTGGATACTGGGTGAGGAAGATGGAGCGGAGTCCCAGCAGACGGGCGCACCCTGCCCTTGAGCGTGGTGCTGGCTGGACACGCGGGTCCCGTCTTCAGGCCCAGCCAGGCTTTTGTTCCCTGAGCATCGTGCGACCTCAGCGTGGGGCTGACCCCTGGAGAGAACCCTCTGGTCGCTTTGTTTCAGTTCCCCCAACTCCACTGCCGACCAATGATGTCGACGTGTATTTCGAGACCTCTGCAGATGACAATGAGCACGCGCGCTTCCAGAAGGCCAAGGAGCAGCTGGAAATCCGGCACCGAAACCGGATGGACAGGGTAAACCTCGGGCTCCCTTATCTTCGTGCTGTCAGGCATCAGCTAACTTGGGGTCCGTGGCTGAAGCATAAGGACGCCACCTCCCCAGGTTGTTGCGCTAACCGAGTTAGGACAGGTGAGGTGTGGGAGTGTAAGCAGGCCTGTCTTCGGGGCGGAGCTAGTCCCCTCCCTCTGTCCACGATAATGGAGTCATCCTCTGAGTGCTTATCTGTTCCAGACTCTGCCGAGGAGCGCTTCCTGAGAACATTATGTTCTGCTGCTTTTTCTTTGCCATGAACTAGCTTTTTAAATTTTTTTATTTTGAAGAAGGAAACTTTATATCAATACTGTAAGTAGAAAGCTAGTGTCGTTTACCGTTAGAACAAGGTAACTAGAAAAATATATTGGATCAAAGCAAACAGTGTTAAAACATTCCAGCTAGATACTGTTGCCTGCGTAGTTTCAGGGATGCTTTCTTTTCCTTCAAGGAGTCATAAGTGCCAGAGCGACAGAGCACCAGACTGCAACTTTCTCCTAGACTTAACTTGGAAAGGTTGAAAAACAAAACTTGAAAAGGGAATTTTTTGCTAGGTCTGGGTACCACCTAAAATCCCACACATCCCCTGTGGGGGGCTTGTATGCTGGGAAACGCTTGTTACTCTTTTTAACCACATCAGTTCTGAGAAGTAGGTACGAGAGCTGACGCCCTGCATCTCCCGAGGCAGCAGTTCTGGGACAAACCCTGAGCTCATGAGTTTGTGGGATGTGATTTCCTTGTGCACTTTCTTTCCCACATTACATTCAGGGCTTGGCAGTATTTTTAGAAAATGGGGGAATTGTTTCAGAGATTATTCTGGTTATAGTTTGACCTTTGTTCCAGGTGAAGAAGGAATGGGAAGAGGCTGAACTTCAAGCCAAGAACCTCCCCAAAGCCGAGAGGCAGACTCTCATTCAGGTGAGACGTGTCCTCCAGAGCGGGGCTCCCAGGCTGACCCTTTGGAGTATGGTCGGAGCCAGAGTCCCCACAAGTTAGAGTTTGACACCCCCTTTTGGTTGAGCGCTTCTGTTGCGAGGAAATTTTCACTGGCCTGCTTTGTTTTTCACCTACCAACTGGTGTTCTCTAGAATTGCTCGCCTACGGTGGAGGGAAACCAAAGCTCGGAGCAGAGCACACCTCACTCATGCCTGGAAGTGACCTTAGCTCGGCTCTGTTTACTCTGCTTTCCTGGCAAAAGTCCTCGGGCATCTTCCTTCGTAGGCTATGCCTTGTTTTCTGGCAGTACTGCAGTACCGAATGTTTTTTTTTTTTTTTTTTTTGCAGACTTATTGAAAAGTCAAAAGGCAGAAAATAAATCTATCAGTTTATCTTAACTTTGGATTTAAGAATGTAATCAGACTCACAGCAGCTGCCTCCCTTTGACTAGAGGAGGTTGTTGACAGGAATTTACAGGACTGATTTGGGATTCATAAAACTAGTTACATCTTAAGTCAGCTTGTGTTTATGTTTAGCTGAAATCTCTCTTCTCGTGATGTTGATATTTTATCGCCTCACCTTTGCTTTTTTATCAGTAACCTAGAAAATCCGCGAATGTTAATTTCCACACAGCCAGTGCACACCATGCAGGGAGCTTTAGCTCGGCAGCCTTAAACCTGCCTGCCCAGGCACCCTGCAGGGAGCTCGCCCTTCAGGACTTGATGTGAATGGCTTGGCCTCACCTGCCACAGGACAGGACTGTGGTTTGGGGGCGCCTTACTGCAGTGTGGGAAGGACGGCCTTCCTTTCCTCACGGTGCACATGCAGAGGCCAGGCCTGGGCTTGCGTGCTAGGGATTTCAGTTAGGGAGGTGCTGAGGAGCCCGTCCCATGCCCAGACATACATGCTGTCATTAGATGGGGAAGTGCAGTTGGCCCTTGAACCACAGGGGTTTGAATTGTGTGGGTCCCCCTACACGCAGATTGTTTTCAATGGTAAAGGCCACAGCACCGCACACGGGCAGTTGGCTGACTCCGTGGATGCGGAACTGTGTGTACAGAGGCCCGACTGTAAGTTACACTGGGATCTTGGACCGCGGGGAGGATCGGTGCCCTTAACCCCTGCGATGTTCCAAGGGTCACCTGTAAGTGTCCAGATGGAAGTCAGAGGAGGTGTTCTGCGACCTCACCCTGCTCCACACGACTCTGTGCTGGGGCGCTGGGCGCGGAGAGGCACAGAGTGGGCTCTGACACTGTGAGTGTAGATACCCGCAGCTGCGTTGACTGGATGTGGTTCCTGCTTTATGGTTCAGCACTTCCAAGCCATGGTGAAGGCCCTGGAGAAGGAAGCGGCCAGCGAGAAGCAGCAGCTGGTGGAGACGCACCTGGCACGGGTGGAGGCCATGCTCAACGACCGCCGCCGGGTGGCGCTGGAGAACTACCTGGCGGCCCTGCAGTCCGACCCTCCGCGGGTGAGAATCGCTGCAGTAGCATGTGTAGAGCCGGTGTGAGCTCACATCGCGCCTGAGGGCCCGTGGGCCGCCTGTGGTGTGGACACGGCCTCCGCTGGAAAAGCAGAACCTCAGCGTGTTGCTTGGTAGTTCCCCAGTTATTGCATTTTTATAGTAGCCTTACTTTCAAAGAATTAAAAACACGTCTTCCACGGACAAAGGCTTTTGAACCAGTTCTATTCTAAATAAGATGATAAGTTAATTTATGTCACAGCTCTTATCTGCCAGTGGTGTCAAACTTTATCCCTTAGCTCTAACTTGCCTTGCTCTGGGGGATGGAGAGGATCGAAAAGGAGGGTGTGTGTAGCCTCCTTAAGCAAGTAAAGTCTTCCGGGTGACACGGGTCACCCTGTGCTTGTAATTATGGTGGCAGGCGCCGAGCTCAGGAAAGGGGACAGACAGATTGGAGGAAGACGGTGGGCTAGCGATTTTGGAAAATGCTGTCTGTTGAGGAGCCACTATAACTGTGGAACTTAGCTTTTGCTACTTAGAAGGGTAGCTTCTTGTTACTTGGTAACTGAAAGCTCTTAAAGGTACAGCTTTCATTCCTGGGCCTCGCTGAGGCTGACTTTCTTAGTGAGTTTTTAAAGCTTCGTTTTCCTGCCTGTTTTCAGTTCCCTAGTCTCTGGACGTGAAAACCACTGTTCTCTCTTGTAGCCCCATCGCATTCTCCAAGCCTTGCGGCGCTACGTCCGGGCTGAGAACAAAGATCGCCTCCACACCATCCGTCATTACCAGCACGTGCTGGCTGTCGACCCTGAAAAGGCGGCCCAGATGAAGTCCCAGGTACACTAGACAGGGGGGAGAGACCGCTCTGACAGGTGGTCGGGCAGCACGGATGGTCGTGCTTATTGTTTTTAGACCTCAGGAAATGATTTTGGATTTCCAAAGACAGTAGGTACAAGAGTTGGTTTTTGCAAAGGTACTATTTAAAAAATACCTTTTCCATACTTTTTTATATTAAGTATGCCCTACTTAAACTGTTCTTGAAGGTTTAGGAATGCATGATTATATTGAAGAGATCATTTTTATATCAGTTTATTTCTAGCTGAGGGTCCCACCAGAATTAATATTTGAAATCTCTTTCTAGGCAAGCACATCTTAAAAATTGGTCTCTTTTGTACGGTATAGTTTTTGTGTTTAGACACTTTACATCCCTGGGTTTTGTCCCCTGCTGCGTCCTACTGGTCTTTGCAGTTATCTATAGAGGTTTGTTTTTGGACCTACTTTTCTAATTTTTGTTTTGACCCTGTATTAACTTGAGTTTTACTGTCTTGTATTCATAGAAATGAACTTGCCTCCAAGACCGCTAGCTTCCTTTAAAAGTCTGCCTATTAGTTTTCCTAGAGGGCCTTGTGATGCCATAACTGATCTTACTCTATTTCCTCCCGTATTTTAAACCCAGCCCTGTGCTGCTTTGTGGGGACGCAGCGTGCACAGGCTGGGAACCTGTCCCCTCCTGCCTCCTGTTGCTCCTGTGGTGTGATTGTAGGGGAACTTCCCAGAAGCCCTGGGGGGCTCCCCTACGGCCCCATCTGCTGCCCAGTGCTGCTCCAGCATCTCACCACACATAGTTGAATCCTGTGTGCCCTTGAGCAGCTCACAGTTGTGTGAAATTAATTATGTTAACTGTGAAGATGGAGAATTGTCCTTAAACATACGGAGCCCACATTAGCAGCTGGGTGTTCAGGGAATGAAAGAACTCAGTGTCCTAAAACAGTGGGAAGGGCATGGGTCTGGGGACCCCCGGGGCCTCTGCTGGGGGCCTGGAGCTAAGGCTCTGTTTGAAGCTGGATGGAGTAGAAGAGGAGGAGGAAAGGCCAGCAGACCTCGGGTAGCTTCCGGGAAGCTCAGGTGGGAAAAGCTTACATCCTGACAGGAGTTAGAATTTTTCAGGTCTACCCGATTTTTTTTTTTTTTTTTTTTTTAAATTGTGTTTTTCCGAGGATAGAGCAGCGAGGCTGGGAAGGTCTTGAGTGAATTTTTGTGTTTCCCGTTTTTTTTTTTTTTTTTTTTTTTAAACGTAGGTCTTCCCTGGCGGTCCAGTGATTAAGACTCCACGCTTCCAGTGCAGGAGGCACAGGTTCAATCCCGGTCGAGGAACTGAGATCCCACAGGCCGCATGGCATGGCCAAAAAAAAAAAATTAATAAAGTTAAAATTTTAAAATGTAATCATTTTTCAATTTTTTTTTTTGTAGAAAATCTAGACTATTATGTAGTACTTTATAGAAAAACAGCCTATTTTGTATGGTGAGACTAGAAGGAAAGGTGAGACCTTGATCAGTGTGTTCAATTAACCTGTGAGCCAGGATCAGGGTACCACCTGAGTGCCCTGGGAGGTGGAGCATCTTTACTGTGTGATGTTTGCTGTCTGCTCGGAGCCCTTAATTCTGGGGCAGCTCAGCCGCTGGATTACACTAGCCTTTGGCCTGTTTCCTGTCCTGTTATGTAAACTCTTGAAAACCCCAAATATGTTGAGCCTCTTAGAACGTGTGCACTCGATTTGAGGTGTGAGTGATGTGCTGCTGCCTCCCGCCCCACACTGCAGCTCCAGGCAGCCCTCCAAAGACCCTGGAGCCCAGCATCCCACCCTGTGGTCTTGTCCTCGTGGGTGTAGGAACCGTCCTCTGCCAGACTCCTTAATTCCTCTGACATGTGGCAGTGTCACCACTGCTGAGACTGGGGAGCTCACCGTTCCATTTCTACTTGCATTTTTTCTCCAAAGCACTCACTCTGGTGCTTTCCCATCAATTTACTTGATTGAAAGGATGGCAAGTATAAAATTAAATTGCTTTCATCTTTGCTTTTATAGATCAGAGAGACATCAATCTACAATAAAAGCATCTTTCCATTTAACTTTTTTTCATTTTGACCCTTCATGTTAATGGCTTCAAGCCCACATAATTAATCCATTGGCTCAGAGCGCCCTCTTTAGGAAGAGCTCGGTGGCTGCAGGTGTAGCCCGGTGGGATTAGCCTTCCTGAGGCGCTTGTGTGACGTACGGCCACGTGCTTCACATGCTTCACAGTGGCAGTGGGGTGGATGTAGTCCAAATCTCCTTTCATTTCCACCCTGAAAACCTCTCAAATTCAGTGACCAAAAAAATTTTTTTTTTAATTAAATTCAGTGACCACTTTAATGACTTTTTTTCTTTTTTTTTTTGGATGAACAACCTTGGAACTTCTGCATTCAGAAGAGGCAGTGAGCTATGTAAGGCAGATGATAGATATGCCTTCCTTATCACCCCATAAAAATCAGGTTTATTTATACTTCAGTGTGCAGTTTTTTTGGTTTTTTTTGCGGTACGCGGGCCTCTCACTGCTGTGGCCTCTCCCGTTGCGGAGCACAGGCTCCGGACGCACAGGCTCAGCGGCCACGGCTCACGGGCCCAGCCGCTCCGCGGCATGTGGGATCCTCCCGGACCGGGGCACGAACCCGTGTCCTCTGCATCGGCAGGCGGACTCTCAACCACTGCGCCACCAGGGAAGCCCCTCAAGCTTGTTTTTTTTTTGTTTGTTTTTGGTTTTGTTTTTTGCGGTAGTCGGGCCTCACTGCTGTGGCCTCTCCCGTTGCGGAGCACAGGCTCCGGACGCGCAGGCTCAGCGGCCATGGCTCTCGGGCCCAGCCGCTCCGCGGCACGTGGGATCCTCCCGGACCAGGGCACGAACCCGCGTCCCCTGCATCGGCAGGCGGACTCCCAACCACTGCGCCACCAGGGAAGCCCCAGTGTGCAGTTCTGCAGGAATAGCTAATTTAGTTAAGTAGGAATAAACTAGTTCTGATGCTCACTGTGATAATCACTTCAAGCAACTGCTTCACTAAGCAAAATCCATGAATGGCCTCACCCCTCAAATCTACTTTTTAACCAGTGATTTCATTCCCTTGTTACCTCTTCTTGTCTGACCCGTGGTAAAAATTGACCAACTCATTTCCTGTTTCACTCAGAAGGACCTTACTGAGTGTCTGGCATTGTACAAATCTGGGTTCTTTTTTTTATAGTATAGTTAGCAAGTGCCTCCTGTGAAAACCAAATCAGTAATTGGCTAAGGAAATTTTTAAAAATTTTCCCTTAACTTGGAGCACCCTCTGGATAAATCCTTAGATCACTGAGAGGTAATACACACATTTTTGCACTATGGTGGCCAGTAAACACGGGGAGGATTCATACTGCCCCCCTGACCAGCTGCTTTGCTGGACTCTGTAGAGAACATAGGTCTTTGCAGAAGAGTGTGGGTGTCAGGCTGGCCCGGCTGTTCTGGTGACAAGGCCTCTCCCCCATCCTGTGCTTGCAGGTGATGACACATCTCCACGTGATTGAAGAAAGAAGGAACCAGAGCCTTTCTCTGCTCTACAAAGTACCTTACGTGGCCCAAGAAATCCAAGAGGAAATTGGTGGGTGCTGACTGTTTGCATCAAGGTCAGGCGGGGCTTGTGCTCAGGAGTGATGGCGGTGCCAGATGAGAGAAACAGGACAAGCGAGGCCATGAAGCTGGGCATTAGCTTGCCACGGGCTCAGAAGTCTGGGGCTCACATGGCAGGGTCAAGCCCTGGCTGGGAGCCACAGAGCCCTGAGTTTCATTGACCTTCACTCTGTTACCGGAAGAAAAATCTAGGGTGTGAATTTGCAAGGGACTGAGCGAGTCTCCCGTTACCCTTTCCCCCTTAATTGCTGGCGTATTTTAAGGCATCTATTTATTCACGTTCTCACTTCCCCCTCTTCTGGTCTTTCTCTTCTTCGTTTATCCAACAAACGTTCGTTGTGTCTACTGTGTGGCACAGAGTAAAATGTGCACCAGTAGACAGACCTCCTGGAGCTCACATTTTAGGAGGAGGGAACGGTCAGGGAAACGAGTGTCCGTGGGGACGGGTGCTGTGCCAGAGGTGAAACGGGGGTAGGACGGGGAGGGTGCCTGGTGGTCAGGCTCCCTTGGGGGAAACGTGAGATCCGAATGATAAGGAGGCGCCCTCCACACAGCAACCCCAGGGGGAAAACACTGAGCATAGGAAGCGACCACTGCAGAGCCTGACGTTTGAATAGAGAGATTTTAGCAAAATCAAGGAGTTTGGATTTTATTCTAGGATAATTGAAAGCCCTTCGAGGGTTTTAAACCGGCAGGTGACTAGATCTGGAATATGTTTTTTTAAAATGTGAACTTTAAAAAACAATTACTAGACTGCTATGTTGAGAGTTGATGAAAATTGGAAACCACCCAGGAAGCAGTTGTAAAAATCCAGGAGAGAGGGGATGGCTGAGTGCACAGAGATGGGAATGGAGGAGATGGAGATATGAGTGGTCCTGAGGATGTGTTTCAGAGGAAGGGTGAACAGGATGCGCTGATGGGCTGGATGGGGCAGGGGGTTGAGAGAAAGAAAAGCATTGGCTCTGCGCCGGTTTCCCTGTGAGCAGCTGAGTGGGTGGTGAGGCTACATTTTGCTCAGGTGCTGCATTCTCTTTACCTGTTCAAATAGAAATTGCCCTCAGACATTAAGTGGAGGTGTGCAGTAGGCTACCAGGTGGATGAGCCAGAGGTCAGGGATGCAGGTGCAAGCTACAGGTTTGGGAGTCACGATCCGTGGATAGTATTTAAAACTGTGCCGTAGGAGGAAACCACTTACCCAGAGGGAGTTGATCGAGGAGAGAGGGGGGCCCAGGATGCAGCCATGGGGTTCCCAGCACCGAGGTTCTGCGGTCAGCAGGGTCAGGGGGCACACCCTCAGGAGAGAGGAGGGGGTCGTGCGTGGCCTATTTTGCGAGCTGGTGAGACGCCCCTTTAGGCAGAGCTCTCATCCCACCCTTAATGACACGAATTAGCCCCGTGCAGACTATCCTGTGCCTAGAAACCAGATCCTTCTGAAAAGCTGGCTCCTGCGTGTCTGTCTTTGTCAGATGAGCTGCTTCAAGAACAGCGAGCAGACATGGACCAGTTCACCGCCTCCATCTCAGAGATGCCCGTGGACGTGCGGGTGAGCTCAGAGGAGAGCGACGAGGTCCTGCCGTTCCACCCCCTCCGTCCCTTCCCGTCCCTGCCTGAAAACGAAGGTGCGTGTGCGGTAACAGCCCAGCTTGGCAGCTGGGGCCAGGGGGCGCGGAAAAATGCACTTAGAAAATTGAAGTCAGATCTGGGACGGGCTTGTGCTGGGGAGACTGTGTTCCTGGTGCAGGTCGAGCAGGGGAGGAGCCGGGATTCACCGAGCACCTGCCACGTGCAGGCACCGAGTGGGGGGCCTTCAGTAACGTCGGGAGGTTTGTGATGTTTCTCCCATTTTATGGACAGTTTGCCTCCGTTCCATTCCACCGCCTGTTTGTCATGGTCCCATCAGCTGCCTCCAGTGTGTGAGGCCTTCCACGTGGAAGCCCCTTTGCAGCTTAAATAGCACTTTCGTGTTCTAGGCTGTCATTATCTTTTCCTAACAGTCTTGGGAGGTAGGTTACGGGGGGCTGCAGAGGTGACCTGACCCACTTGAGGGCGAGGTGGGCTGAGAAGCTGTCCCTCTGCCTCCTCCTGCGCAGGCGTGCTTTCTTCCATTCCCTGCCGGTTCTCGACGTCTGTAGGGATCTCTCAGAGCTGTGGGTCTGGGCACTTCCCTGGTGGCACAGTGGTTAAGAATCCGCCTGCCAGTGCAGGGGACACAGGTTTGAGCCCTGGTCCGGGAAGATCCCACATGCCTCAGAGCAACTAAGCCCGTGCACCACAACTACTGAGCCTGCGCTCTAGAGCCCACGAGCCACAACTACTGAGCCCATGTGCCGCAACTACTGAAGCCCGCGCACCTAGAGCCCGTGCTCTACAACAAGAGAAGCCACCGCAACGAGAAGCCCGCGCACCGCCAAGAAGAGTAGCCCCCGCTCGCTGCAACTAGAGAAATCCCGCGCGCAGCAACGAAGACCCAACGCAGCCAAAAATAAATAAATTAAAAAAAAAAAAAAGCTGTGGGTCTGCACCAGAAATAAACAAGCTGCTGAGCCCGGGCCCTGAGATCAGGGTGTGGAATCAGTTTCTATTTATTTGCTGCTGCCGTTGTGGCTGATGGTGGTGATGATGACTGTAGCGGCCACCGCTGTAGGGTCCTCCTCATACGCCAGCCTCGGCTAAGCACTGTGCATGGATGCTCTCGTTTATATTGTTAATCCTCACAATAACCCTCTGAGGTAGGGACTGGGTGTGTTCCGCATTTGGGGATCCAGGGTTTAAAGAGGTTAAGTGTCTGCCCAGGGTCACGTAGCTTGTAGGTAGAGAGTAAGGATTTGAGCCTGAGTTGATGCGGTCCTGAGTCCTAGGCAGATCCGGTGGTGCTGCTACGGAGGCCTGAGGAAGGGGGGGGTCCAGCTTGGCCTCCAGACCCTAACACAAGTGCCTTCCTTCCAAACCAGCTCTCTCAGAGGTACCAACTCAGTACAGTTGACCCTCTGATAGTAAAAGAGAATCCGAAGAAGGAGCCAGATAAATAACGAGGTGCCAGCGCACTCCCTAAGCCTGCTATTTCGGACCCCACCCTTGGGGCCGCAGGGTGGCCCTGCTTCCTCAGCTTGTTGGGATGGGGGTGCGTCTCACGTGGACCTTTGTGAACTGGGACCTCGTCTCCTTCTCAGAAAACCACAACCAGTGCTGACTTGTGTTTTTGTTGTTTTCTAAGAAAAATAACTTGGAGCTAAGCTAAATAATTTGGGAATCTCACAAAAGTTCCTCCAAAAGACCCAAGACCGCCTGCCTTCTTTCCCTTCCTTCCAGTCATGTGCTGTAGCTCTTACCGCCGTTTGCTTGTGGGGCAGCTCAGGCCCAGTTTGTAGGAAGAAGATGCTTTTGTTCACGTTATAGAGAAAGTCAAGTCAAAGGTAGGAATTTTGAAAGAAGGGATTTTTTTCTTAATCTCCTCTTGTGCTGTTTTGTTTTTGTTGCTTTCCTTTCTGCTAGACACTCAGCCGGAAGTGTATCACCCAATGAAAACAGGTTGGTTTTGTCAAAGATGTACCCCCTAAGACCTTCATTCCTTTCACTTGCCCGGAAGTTTCACGCTCCGTTCCATTCCACCACCTGATGTTTTCCGCCTCATGCCTTCAGACATGGCTGTGGGAGGACCAGAGGAGCCTGACTTCCAGCACCCAGAACCCAGTGTCCGTGGGTTTGCTTTTACCTGGTGGCCATCCTGAGCTGCCCTTCTGGATGTCCAGAGAGTACAGAGGAATACAGAGTAACCAAAGTAGAGCCTTCATAAATCCTTTTAAGCTGGGTAGACCTTAAAAGTATACCCAGCTTAAACAGGTTGGTTGCAAATTCCTAGGATAAATAAAAACATGCTTATGGTCGGGTGGAGAGTCATTTATTTTACCTCTTTTTCTCTGCTGCTCCCACATACATCTTTTCCCTTTCTTCTTAGCTGTCCTCTGCCTTTTGTCCATGCCCGAGTGTCTGTTTCCAGCTGTCTTATGTCCCCCGAGATGTAGCGTCCCTCAGAACATAGTAGAAGCTGATGGATGAAACAGGTTGAGACAAGTGAACGCTTGCTGTAACGAGTCTCCACTTTTCAGATGAAGTTAGCTGCGTGTGAGCACAGGCTGCAGGCTTGCACACTTGATCGCGTTTAACCCACTGAACACACTGGAGGTAGGGTTATTAGCTCTCTTTGCTAGATAAGGCAGTTGGAGCAGCCTCAGAGTTCAGTCATGAGCTTAGGAAGTGGAGGAACCAGAAACTGAACTCAGCTTCCTCTGTCTTCAGAGCCCACGGTGTTCCTGTTTCACAGACCACGGTATAGCTGCTGCATTTCCGGGCTGGGGGGGAGCGGGGGCCAGTCCATCCTCCAGGGTCATCGTGAACAAGAGCACACGTTCTCGGACTGACCGGGCTGCCTCATGCCGTGCCTGGCTGAGGGTTTGGCAGTGGTGTGTATGCTGCTTCTCAGAACACAAGGTTGTGAGCTGCCTGCACAAGTCACTCGTGCGCATGTGCTTTGTTTTATTCTACTTGGATATGCCTCTTCATCGCTGTGTGAACGTTCCTCTGGGCGGCACATCTTGGATATGTTTAGGTGAAGTTGAATTTTCTAAAAGTTTAATTTGTCCTTATGCTTCAACTGTTATTCGTTGGAATAGTTTAAACATTAACTTTTGGTCTGTTAAATTCCCTTGTTTACTCATTCTATAAAACCCAAGTGCTTTTGATCGCTGTTAAAGAAGCATGAGGGTTGTACCACCAAAAAAAGTGTTAGGAGAGTCTGAGCACGGGTAGTAGGACTTGAAATTCGTTGGCTCAGTGCCACATTATTTTTGAAATAGGATCCTGCCCTATGACCTTTGAAATTCTGAGGTGGAGGAGAGAGAGAGAG